CTGGGAACGTGGCACTGCTGATGAGGTTTCCACCGCAAAACCACTGAAGGGGACTAAGCAAGGACTCAGAATTTACAGAGTGGTTCGCAGACAGCAAACTGCATCTAGAATACAAGACACCCTACAGAGCAAGAAACCCGGTTACTTCCACAATGGCATAACAAAAAGGAAAGAAAAAAATTCTTGAAAGACAGTAAGTGGGAGTGGAGAGCTGCACCCCAGCTCTTCTATTTTTTTCTATAAAAGAGAATGCTGCTGGGTTCTGTCCCTGGGCCAACTCCCCTGGGGAATGTGATCACTGTACTGCAAACATGTACTAAGTAAAATTGCAAAAAGGACAGCCTATAGGAGATTAGGAAATAAATGTAATGTGCTAATGAAAACACCCAGAATTTGAACAAGGAAATAAAGTAAAAAAAAAAAAAACCAAACTCTCATAACAAGCACTTTGAGCATGTGCAGCTTATGTGGATTGTGATCTGAACAAGCCATCTGCCACCCTGTCAGGGAGACTGACTTCATCCGAGGCGCATGAGATGTACATGTGAGAACAAGTTCTCCTCACCTGGAAAGAGACGGGAGTGCTTATGGGCAAAATGACTTATGGTCTGGGCTTTGCTTAAAATAGCCTAACAACAGTGAGCTAACTGGATGGAACGAGGGGGGCAAGCCAGAAGCGGTGGGTGGTACACACTTGTGACATCATCACTCTGGGAGGTTAAATGGGGAGATGGCAAGTTTGAGCCCAGTCTGGCCAACTTAGTGACTTAGCCAGACCCTGCTTCAAATTTTAAGTTTTTTAAAGAGCTGGGGTGCAGCTCAGTGCCAAGGCCCGATGTTCAATTCCTATTATCAAAAGGTGAGGGCGAAGTGTTGGGGATGGTTGAAACTTCATGATGAGCATGTGAAGGCTCACCAGGTCATTTCTTCTGTTTGAAAATTTCTGAAACACAAAATTTTGTTGTTGTTTCTAAGGTGCAAATACAATCTTGGGTACTTGAGAAGCACAGTGAAAATTCTCCCATTCCACATAGCCCCTCCCAGCCCTCTTCACTCTTTTGCCTTATATCTGTCAACTGTGACTCCTCGTGGCAATATCTGCTCCTAGAAGCCCAGCCCTGCCCTCAGCTAAAACAGGGACCAAAGCATAACTCGCACGAGTAGACCCTGAAGTCAGAGACGTTACACTGCGTGCACAAATTCTGATTCCTTCTCTAAAAGTTAAGGAAGATTCTCAGCTCAGCAGAAAAATGGGCACAGCTGAGTAGCAATGACTGCCGTGGAAAAGTAGTCATCTGTAGTTAGACCTCACCTAAGAATTGTCAGCCGGATCTCAAAGCCTGGTGAATAATCCTCATAGTGAATGATCTTGGCAAAGACAATCGGGGTAATAAAATTGGCCAGCGTGATCACAATGGATGGTAGGTACAGTACCAGCAGGTTCTCTCCAAAAACCATCTTGTCAATTTCCTAGGAAAATGGAAACACAAGCTGAACTGAAAAAGAATTCAACAATGCACGTTTGGCAAACAAGACATGTTTGTCAATCAACACAGCCTCTGAGGGTCATTCAACATAAAGCTATTTCCTTCCTCAGGTAAGTAAACAGATACCTAGACTATTGCTGGAAGAAAAATGGATTCTTTCTTATTTTTTTGGTGGAACTGGGGATTGAACTCAGGCCCTTGTGCTTGCCAGGCAAGCACTTATTCTACTGAGCTATCTCCCCAGCCCTACCTTTAATCTTTAAAAATCTTTTTTTTATTTATTCATTTGATACAGGGTCTTGCTACATAGCTCAGACTCATAGTTATCCTCCTGTCTCAGCCTCCCCAGTGCTGGGATTATAAGCATGCATCACTGTGCCCGGTTTTAGGGCTGGCATGGTGTTCCTGGGGTTCTGGGACAAGCACAGCATGCAGTACTGGTACCAGGGATCAAGCCTAGGTCATTGTGTTTGCCAGGCCAGGACTCAGACCGTCAAGCTATCTTCTTAGCCTAGAAAAATGGATTCTTAAGGTAAAGTATGAGGTGGGGCTAGAGAGATAGCTCAGGAGTCTCAGCACCTGCTTGGAAAGTGTAAGGATCCTGGTGCAATCCCCAATACCGCATGCCATGCTGGCCCCAAGCTGAGCCTGATACTGAAACCAGGCATAGTGACAAACGTCTATAATCCCAGCACTGG